AGAAAGGGTCTGATTTTACATAGCTGGCACTCCATCATTCCTTTTCTGACTTCATATACTGAGTACTATTTTCCTCCAGGATGATACACATCAGTTCTAAGAATCGGTCTCGATATAGGGGTAGGTGGCCGGGCAGGCCAGGGAAAGGAGCTATAGGAGAAGGGATCTTCATTAAAAGCTGACCTCTGGGCAGCCTGAGCAGAGGAACCTCTGAGACCCCGTGTCAAAGGGGAAGTGGGAGTCATGGGCTCCACAGCCATCCCAAAGACTCGTAACCTGAGCCAAAAGGTGGTCAGAATTCACCTGTGTAATCAAAGAGTCCATCAAATGGTCCATCTCCACTCTGGTACCTTTCATCTAAAAGAAATGCCCAAACCCTCCCTCTTCCCAACTCGGCCAGCAAAGGAGACCCAGTTATCCTGGGATGCCCAGGACTGTCCCAGTCTTAGCCCTGAAAAACCTTCTTCTTGAGAAGCCCTTGATCCTCACCTTCAACAAATCAGGACAGGTGGTTCTCCTAGGTGACCACCTTGCTGGTCAACACCAGCTCAGTGGATTTGAGCTGAATCCTGGGAAGCAAAGCCATGTTATGACACATAAAGTAGATCAACATCAAATTTAAAAATCCCAGAATATTTTGCAAACTCAACTGCAGGCTGCCTGCCATGAGGTAGCCACCTGACATGGTTCTATTGTTAAACCTGAAAGGCTGTTCCTTTCCATAAAGAAGTGCCAGCCTGATTCCATCGGCACCTTGTGATCAAACAGGCAGATGTGCTTCTTCCATGTGGACTTTGTTGCTTCTCAGCTAGATGGCCACTTGTTTCTCTGCAAGCCTTTAAGACCCCAGACGTTTTATCTTTTGATAGCCGGGCACCATCAGCTTTCTTCACCACACTGCTTATGCACCCATTTTGTCTTCAGCGATCATGTCAGGAAGGTGAGCATCACAGAATGCTGGATTCTTAGAACAAAGTGTTCTTGTGTTAAGGTAGGCCCGATGTCCATTTGCAACCTTAATTCTTAACATATAGATATGAATACATACTTTTATTCCTCTCTCTCATTGCATATATTTTGCATATGTACATGCCTGTACTTGGGCCTATATAAATGTCTTTTGCCTCCTGGTTCTTTCCTCTATTTCCTTTTTAATTCCCTCTTGTCCCACCATCATGTTCGGCCTTTATTCAGGTTTAGTAATTCCTCGCTGCTACATATGCCATTGATTGAGCCCTATTAGGCATCCTACGACCTTTCTTTCACTGATTTGAGTTCACTTGTTGTTCACTTGTCCCTGAGTTGGTTTCCCCCCACCCCCTCCCTTTCTCCCACCTCCCCTTCTCCCATATCCCCCTGGAACCATTGGTCCTGTTCTTTTCATCTCCAAATTATGTATCCCGCCTATCTTATCTAGATAGTCATGCAGATACATTAATAAGTGCAAAAACCAGGCAAAACCAAGTAAAACAACAAAGGAAGTCAAAACCAACAAAACAATAACAACAACAGCAAAAAGCAATAACAAAATAAAATAACAAAAAGAAAGCCACTGACAAAAATGGGAAAGCCTATAAATAGTTTAAGGTCTGTTTGTTGGCCTTTATGAGTGTTTTCCAGTTGAGTCTGATGGGGCTGATGACACTCTGTCTCCCATTTTTGGTTTCATCACTCTGCTCCCCCTGCTGCTCTGCTGCATGTCCTCAGTGCCTCACCCCAGCGTGATGGGGTCAGACCAGGCACTATTCCTGCACTGTGTCTCCAGTGCTGTCCCCTGTAGTGTCAGGGTTCAGTGAGGGATGCCGTGTCCCATGGTGGGGCCAGCCCCAAGGTGAATGGTTGGGGGGGACATGGTGTGGAGGCCCAATGCCCATCTGTAGATAATTGGACATCCCTCACAGAGGGGTCACAGGGAAGAGATGAGCCAGTCAGGGTGCAGTATAGCATTGATGAAACACACAACTTTCCTCTAGCTCTTTGGTGCCTCCTTCACCCTACATCAATTCTACCTTACAAATCGGATTAGACCAGAGCACGCACACTACTACAGATAAGAGCCTACAATACAGGGAATCTGAGATAGATAAACTCCTTAGGGCCAACAAGGAGAGTAGAGTTACCAGGAGGATAAGGAGCAGGGGGGGTGGGGGGACCGATCACAAGGATCAATCTAGAACCCCCTCCCAGGGGGACAAGTAACGGAAAAGTGGGTGAGGGCCAACGGAGGACTATGTAAGATATAGAAAAAATAATCTATAACATATCAAGGGTTCATGAGGGAGGACAGGTGGGTGGGGGAGGGAGGCGGAAGAAATGGGGAGCCAATATCAGGGACTCAGGTGGGAAGAGAATGCTATGAAAATGATGATGGCGGCACATGTGCAAATGTGCTTGACACATTGGAGGAACGTATGGATTGTGATAAGAGGTGTAAGAGCCCCTAATAATAAATAAATAAATAATCACAGTAATTGTACAATTGTGCTTGATCTAATGGCACTATGGATTGCAATACCTATAAGAGTTCCTAATAAAATGTTTTAGAATAAAAGAAGAAGTGCCTGCATCTCTGGCCCCTACGCTGCTGCCGTTTCAAAGGCAGAAAGGAGAGCCACAGTTACTCTGGGCTCTTCATCTGACTCTGGACCAGCCTCCTGGGTTCCGGAGGAAACACTGAGCTGGGAGGAAAAAACAAGACAACTGAAAGCTGTAACTCGATGTTGTTTTCAAAATATGTTACTACACTCCTCATGGATCCGAGAATCTCTGCAGCCTGAGGTGAAATTTATTTTGAAATTTCAGAAAACTTCAAGGACAGGCTTGGGATTTATTTTTTATGCTTAGTTAAAATAATCGTGGGCTTTTGTTTTGTTTCAGTTTGAGGAAAAGTGCAATGAAAAGCATATATTTGTGTATCTATACACACATAGTGCTTTGGGGTTTGTTTTGTTTTGTTTTCTTCAAATCTTAATTTTGCAGAAGAGGCTGATGCTGGAGAGACTGAGTTGTGGCTACTGGTTGATGACGTTTCCTTGGCCCTGGTCACATAGAACCGAGAAGTAGAAAAGAACTCGGGTCTGGCTTCCTTTCCTTAGGAGGATGGACCCAAAGACCTTCCCACAGAGGGAGGCAGCCCTGGGCTCCCCTTCCTCCAGCTCGTTCCCCCTGGGGGAGCCTCTTTGTGTCCCCTATAGTTTGGGGAAGAGAAGCTCGCTCTGGAAGTGTTTTCCCTTGAGGATTATTTTCACATGAAATGTATGTTGCTTAATGAGCTCACAAGAGGACAGGAATGCTTTGATACTGGGCAGCCCCACCCACCTCATGAATTTGTGCTTCCTACCTCCAATGCCTCCCCCTCCCCCCCAAAAAAGGGCCAGAGAAATGTGTCCTGCATTGGCAAGAATGAATGCATGGAGTTGAGTCCTGATGAGTAGCAGCCAGGCCTTTTGCTGGGTAGAAGCAGATTAATGCAAACTGTGTGAGCACGACCACCCTCCAGTGCCACCTTCCTGTTAGAAGGGGGACCTGGGAGAAGGAACACACCTGTGCCTTCACCTCTACACACCAAGGCTCCCTCAGCAGTACGGTGGGCTTGGGAGCTGACAGGACACATGCCTAGATCCCCTTCCATCCCGCCACCTGCTGGTCTTAGTTTCTGAGCCTTGTTCAACTCAGACCATTATCTTTGACCCTCTCCCTGGGGGCGGGGGCAGGGGGTGAGCATCTGGCCGGAGAAGTGGAGTTTCTGGATATTTGGGGACTAGAAAAGAATCTTAAATAACAATTTTGGGTATGCGTTTTAAACCCCTTCATCCATTTATCGACACACATTCTCTCTTCCTATTTTTTTAACCAAGTGATTGGTTTTTGTTAAGTTTAGAGAGGAAAAAGACTGAGACAGGCAGTAGTTAACTTGAAAAAAAACTTGATTTTGTTTTTCCTTTTTAACTAGGAAAAATTATTTGTGTTTTTACACACACACCCCTCCCTGAATAATCCCAGTCCTCTCTCTCTCTCTCTCTCTCTCTCTCTCTCTGTCTCTCCTATCACAGAGCACCCCCCCCCCTCCCACCAGACAGCAGGGCCCTTGCAGGACCATCTGAATCCAGGGAGAAGGGACATCTGCTCTCACCTACGCACCCACAGTATTCACTGGACCCCACTTTCTCAACAAAGGGGACAACCTGGGAGAGAAGTAGAAGCTGCATCTGTCTCACTAAGGGCTTCTTCTTCTCAACTCCCAGACCCTCCCAGCTCTACCCCCTACTGAGCCCAGGCTGCTGTCCTTTTCTGGTCAGCTCAGCCTATTCCCTTGCTAAATCCAACTGCCCTTCCCCACAATTCTCCTCCCCAATTAGAAAGCCACCAGGAGCCAAGAGTGGCTGCAGGTGTTGGGAAGAGGCCTTGCTGTGGTCATTTCCATTCACCTAAAGGCACTAAGTGTGTGGACCCTGTCTGATAGGAAAGATCCGGGCTCAGGGCATGTTGAAGGTTCTGTCCTGGAAGAAAGAAGTCAACGCCAGTGATGAGAAGACGGGTCATCTTGCTTCTAGCCGCCATCCTTAGAAACCAGGCTGCAAATGCGTTTCCTCGTGTAAGGAGACCAGGCTGTCTCCCGGAGAGCAGACAAGTGTATGAAGAAGGTGCCACTGAGGGTCCACTCTCACTTCCCGTGGTGAATGGCACCAGGGGCACCCCAGGCACTCTCACCTTCAGGCCCTGAGACCTCCATCCCTCACTCGTTGAATATTTCTAGAGCTGCCTGAGTGGAGTTTAGGGCTCAGCTGCTTCCCTCTCCTCTCTCCGCTGGAAACAGAAGCTCCAGCAAATGTTTCTAACTCCTGAGTCCACTCAGCCATGTCCCCCTTGCAAAATCCTCCCCTTCCCGCACCCCCCTGCACCCAGCCAGCCAATCCGCGGCCTTCGAGCCTCGCCAGACCCATCTCCCAGGGCCTCCGCGGGATAAAATCGGTCGGTGATGCCGGGTGGATGGGAACAAACTTCAGAACCAGGCGAGAAGCAGGGCCCAGGGCACCCTCGCTGGCAGACCCAAGCAGTGGGGGCCTGCTGCTGGCCAGGTATGCTGCTTATGAGCTGGTTGGAAGCTGGCTGGGAGGAAGCGGCTCTTAGAGAAGGCAGCAGCCACGGAACCCTGCAGGCTTTTCCTTCGCAAGTTAAAGGGGACAGGGGATCTCAGAGGGTTAGAACACCAGTACTGGAGTTTGGGGCTTCCTCAGCACACTCTCAATCCAGGACCCCCTGGACTGTGTATTCCCTAGACCAGGCTGAGGTTGGCCCCTACATCTAAGAACTCTCCCACCCCTCCTGGCAAGCCATGGAAACCTAGGGGACAGGCCCGGGACGGGTGTCTCCATCAGTAGGCATTCAACCTCATGCCCCTTTCCCTGGGTCTGTGCAGGGCAGCAGTGTGGCGGCGGGTGCTGCCAGGACCGGCGCGAGGAAGCCCTGAGCCTTTGGCAGGCTGCAAGCGACACTCCGAAGATGCCGCACAACTCCATCCGATCCGGTAAGGTCGCAGCTTGGCCAGGACCCCAAGACCCCGTGCCACCATCGTGCGTCCGTGCGTGCGCTCTGGTCGGTGGGGCTGGGGGAACGTACGCTTTGGGCTCCCAGCACGAAGCTGAGGGCGCCTAGGGCCTGTTTCTCCCGTTTGGAGTCGCCACTCTAAGGCCCCAGGAGCTGCGCTACCCAGGCCTGGGTTTGTGTGGTCCTCTTGAAACGGCAGGAGGGGGGTAGCTCTCCGTGAGGGATCAGGGGTTGTTTTCTGATGTCCCACCACCACCTTCGCACAGCTCTCCAGTGGGCACCCTGAGTGCCCTTCGGCCTTGGGCTGCGCCGGTGCTAGGCTTGCAGAGTCCCTGGAAACCCTGGTCCCCGGGTGTAGGAAGCCCTGGACAGTGGTTCCCCCAGCAGGACCCTGAATAGATGCCCTCCCCTCCCCCGGCCCCCACCACCACTCTTTCAAGCCAAAGGGAAAGAAGCCAGTGGTCCAGGGCCTGGGGACTGGGAGCGCACCCCAGTGCCCCGGGACACCTCCTAGCCTAGCACGGGGCGGGCAGAGAGCTGGGCTCAGGGCGAAGGACCTACGAGGGCTGGGCTGCCCGCGGGGCCGAGCTGTCCTCCCCACGCGCGCCGGGGCTCGGGCCTGCAAGTGCGCCCGCCAAGCGCCAGCCGCAGGGCTGGCTCTTCCCACCCTGGCGGCTGGGCCCAGGCGGGGACCGAGCCCGGAAGGCGCCCTAGGCTCGGGGCTGGCCCGGGCCGGCGGCGCGGTGGGCACGGGCGCCGCGGTGCGGAGCGAGTGCGGACGGCGGGCGGAGGCGCGGCGCGACCCGCGGTGATGGATGGAGCCGGGCTGGCCGCCGGGAAAGCGATTTATGGGGCCAGGGCACGACGCGATCGATTTGGGCCGGCGAAGTGAGAGGAAATCAATATTTCAGATGAATTCTAGGCGAATATGAAGTCCCGCTAGGCAAACGGGACATTTGTTATAATAAGGAGGGTCGGAGCGGGCGCCGTGCGCGGCTGAGGTCTCTATTTAGCCGAGCGCGCAACGTCGCCGGGCTGTGCGGAGCAACCTCAGCGCTCGGGGCAGGAGCAATCCCTCCCGGGGCTCCTGGAGGGGGTCTCAGCCTAGTTCTGGCTAGGACCCCAGAGGCAGGTCCCAGGACGCTGCCACCTGGCCCTCCGCTCCCCGCGGACAGCCGCGCCGCCGCCGCCCCGCCGCCCGCGGCCAGGCCTGGCCGCTCCTAGGCCTGTCTGAGTCGAGGCCAGGGCCCTCTGGCCGGGCGCCGCGGGGTCGGCTGGCGGGGGAACCCTGCGGGCTGGCCGGCCTCCCTTCACCAGCCGCTCCGGGGCCCAGGCGGGCTCCGTGGCTACTTTCTGAAGCCCGGACTAGGGTTTGCCCACCCCACTCCCCGCCCCCCCGCCCCGGTCTCTCTCCAGACCAGGGCGCAGGACTGGATGGTCTCTACTGGGGATCGCGAGGTGCCGCCGGGTCCCCGCTAGTGCTCCAGGACCTCTCCAGCCGCGACTGCGGCTCTCCGGGGCTCGCCCCTTCCCCCCCACATCCCCACCTTCCCCCGGGTCCACCGGGCGGCGGTGGGAGCCTGGGGTGCGCTCCGACTTCGAACTGACCGGGCCGGGCCAGACCCTTGCCCACTGACGCTACCCAACGCGATGTCGCGATGCCCAAGGGTGATTCATTGGCGTAAACGGGAACCCAGGCACGCAGGACCCAAACACTAGCCACCACGACTCAGTTTATATTTTCTTTTCCATCAGCCACAAGCCCAGAGGGCAACGCACCTCTTTCTCAAGACCTCAGATGCGAATCGCCCAAGAGTTTGGGGCGGGGGTCAGCAGAGTCCTTCGGAGGCTGGGGCAGACAGAGGTGGGTTTCTGGCCTGGGGAGGCAGAGCCTCTCTGCTCCCAAACAATAAAGCAATTAAGCTTCCAGGGAGGGAGAGCAAATTTAATAATAATAAAACCAAAAGAAAGTCGCAGTTCCAAAGGCTGGAAGCTCCCGCGTTTCGGTTCCGAACCCCGCCTTGGGCAAACCTGAACACTCATGTGCGTGTTTCCTTGGTCAGTGGATGTGACGTTGTTGCCCTAAATTCTTGAAAGCAGACACTTTTGTTTTTATAAACCCATTGTCTTCCAGGGTTTAGCCACTTTCCACCATCACCACCCCCAGCTCCCTTTCTGAGTTCGGTTCGGCTTGGGGACCACTCCCGTCAAAGTTTCCGGGGCCGGACGCCCTGGGGTGGCGGGGCCCGCGCAGCCTTTCGCGGGAGCGAGGCCGGGCGCGCCTTTTCTCAAATCCTCAAACCCAAGGCGGTGGAGAAAGTTGCCCCAAGGTTAGGGCCACTCCAGTCTTCGCCGCTCAAGCCCGGGAGGGTCACCGCCGCGGATCTTGCCCAGGAGAGAGATGTCGTTTTTTAGCCCCTGTGGTTTTATGATCCTGAGGGCCCAAGATTCGGACGCGCACTGGTCAGCGGTACGGTTCGAACGTGATGTCAAACCCGCTCGGATTTTCGTTGCATCGAGAAACCAAAAGGGGAGAAACCTGGTTTTACCTATCCCAGGATGCGTGCCTGGGGAGAGAGGAGTGGCACACAAATATCAACATGTAAATAAGGTGGCCGCAATGAGGAAGAGAGTTTAGCAAAAGAAAGCAGGTTGCCATTAAAAGTTACTTGAAATAAGTTGGCAAACTCCACCCCCAGCCTGGGAAAATAGGTTATTCAAAGAGTAAAAGGAGACCTGGGAGTGGGGAAGGAAGACCGATTCCTGTAACGTCAGCTCTTTGGAGCCGCTTCCTTCTCTTCGTTTTAAAAAGAAAGAAAGGAGGTCCCACGCCTGTGGGAAGGGTTTGTTTTCTTCCCAGTGTTTCTTTTTTCTTTTTCCCTGGGTTGAAACGAAGATCTTCCCCATCGGGGGAAACAGTCTTAAGGAACATAAAAAGGTATTGGGGTTCCTCAATCCATCTTTGTTTCAAGATGGTCCACCCTCCCACCCTGCTCAATGCAAGTTAATTAGGAGATAATTTAGCTACCTTGTGAATTAGTTTTAAGATGAGTATCTTTTCAAGCTTTGTCACTTTAATTGCCCCGCTGATTGATAAGAAGTAATTATTTCTAATTGACACTTTTTTGATGTCTGTTGGAAGCATTTATTTGGAACTTTTTTGGACATAGACAGAAAGTTAATTAATTTTATCCATCTATCCCCAAAAGGACTCTGCCTGATTTTTCTGAAGAGGACAAAGGAAGGGAAATAAGCAAAAATTAACCTACTGGAATTGTAATCATTAAAAGACACGTTGGTGCAGAAGAGAGCCTTTACTAGTGGAACAAGTCACAACTTTCGCTTAGACGGCCTCAAATCTCCAGTTTGGGCCAGGCGGATGTTTTCGGGGTGTAGAGATTTGTCCCATCGAGGTCTCCAGAATCCCTTCCTGTGCTGACTTCGTTTTGGAGCAACTTACTCTGATTTGTAATTCGTACTGGCAAAGAAAAAGAACAAAGCAGAATTTTGTAAGCCCGCGGAATACATACATGAGAGTCTGTCTTGCAACGCTAATGGTTAAGACAGATTTCTGGGTAGTCATCCTTGTTCTGTAATTATTGATGGAGTTGGGGATAAAGGTGAAACTTTACTTACAGCGGCATGCCTTTTCATACCTAAACCTTGAGGGAAACGGTTTAATCATTCACCTCTGCTAGGACATTTTACGTGGAGAGAGAGGAAAGGAAAGGATGTAGAGGGGAGAGATGCTGAATGGAGGCACGGGGGAGGGGGAGGGGGAGAGAGAAAGCTGGCTGGACAGGGAACGCAATGACAGACCCTGGACTGCAGAAAAGAGGTGGCCAGGGGCATGCAGTATAAGGAAATAAAAATTTTGCTCTCGAAGTATCTATGAGCACCTCTACACAGCCCCTAGCCACCTCCCCACTTTTCTAAGCCTAAAAAGAGGCCAGCAAGGTCGTCTAGGAGGCTCTCAGTGGTGCACATGGATGCCACCATCTTTATTTTGGTGTCCACGAACAGCGAGAAAATGCTTCTGGTGCTCCAGGGGCTTATTAGGTGATTTGAGCCTTATATGTTCTTATTATGAAGGGATTTGTAATCTCCGGCATGCGTGGTGTATGTACAATCTTTCCATCGTTAGCTATGTGATTCATGGACATTTCCACGTCGCCCCAAAGTGGAGACTCACACGCCCCTGGAACAGGAGGGGCACAATCAGACAAGACACGCTCCTGTGGGGGTAATTCCAGCCACGGTCATCTCTAGTCGTTTCTGTATAAAATCTTGTCTGCTTTAAGGATGTGTCTTCCAGATGACGGGAAGCCGCAAGAATGAGGAAGCCTTGTAAATGAAAAAGAAACGTCAGACGTACAAACGGCAGATAATATCGCATACCAGCCTCACTATTAGTGAAACTAAGAAAAAAACCCGATAAATAATGCACACACACACACACACACACACACACACAATCAGCAAGGGAGAGGTTAGTAATGGAAAATTCCCCTGCAATTAAATGAAACAGTAATTTGGTGCAGATATGCCTGAATGAATTAGCATTTATTAATTGGTTCTCATAAAAACAATTTGTGTGTGTGGTGTGGCTGCAGTGGGGTGTGTATATTGTCAATAGGAAAAGTTCCTCAGATGTAGCTATCGAATTCTGGAGTCACTACATTCCAATTTAGGAAAGATTCGGAGTCTCTCACTGGCTGCCTTCACCTGTGCACAGAGCACTTGAGAAAAAACCCTTGAGATCAGAGGGATGAAGCTGGATTCCCATCTCTCGGGGTATTTCCAAACGGATGAGGGACAAGCTGGCAGAGTTGGTTATCCTCAGGAACAACCAAACCGGATCCTGGTCAGATTCCCAAATCTGGCGTATAACTAAGGCATCGGAAGGCTGCTTTGTGGTGGTCCATGCCTCCAGCGCCCCGCCCCGAGCCTGTTCCAGCACCCTAGCCAGCTCTGGGGGGA